CACATGTGGAGGCAGGGTGCGTTTCGCATTGTTTTTTGACTGGGATGGGGGGGGGCCCTCATTGTTCCTGGTTGGCTGCCGGTCGCCTGGGGGAGGGGGTGTATATTAGTAGAGAAAAAAACCATCCCCGCCCGCAAGCCGTCTCGTTCACTCCCACCCGCCCTCCCACATGAGTAGCACCCGAGCCGCAGCGTGTTCAGCGATAGTCTTTGGATGGACAGCTCACGGGTACCAAAACAGACCCTATGTGCGCAACACTGAGGCAAGGTGCGCCAGGCGTACCAGGTGCACCAGGCACCCCTGTTGCCTTAGCGTGCCGGGCACGCCTGGTGCGCCAGATGCGCCACGTGAGCCTCGTGCGCCATGTGTGCCGCATGCTCCAGCCCCGCCAGGTGCGCCACGTTCGGGGCACGCGCAGAGTGCGCCAGGTGCGCCTGCGCACGTGGCAGTACACGTCGGGAAACGTGTCGGCCCCCACCACACTTGTCGAAAATCAGTGCGCAAGCGTGGCGGGGAGGCCATCATAGCGTCTGGTGGGCCTGCACGTAGCAGGCATTATTCCAGAACCCCCGCAGTCCCAGTCAAAAACCAATGCACAGTGATCGCGGGGTGCCCGCGCAGGATCGAGATTTTGTCTCGAAGTGCAGGGATGCTGGCCCTGCGCGCAGCAGGCAATATGCATGCACCCCCTCCGTCCCTGTCAAAAAAACATCGAAAGTGCTCGCGCCCTCCTGATCATGACCCAAGATTTTGCCCCCATGAATATGTTTCATTGTCTTTTGACAGGGATAGTGGGGGGGCCCTCGTTGTTAGTCGTTACCCGTCGTTGGCTGCCAGTCGCCTGGGGGAGGGGGTGCCTATCAATAGGGAACAGTGATAGGCCCCTCCCCAAAGGGGAAGACTGGGTTGGAAGAGGAAACCCTCGAAACCACTCACGCCCCAAAGGGCAGGTGGGATTTGTCAGTCCAGCGACGCTGGACCGCTCTTCCTCGAAAAAATTGCAGCGCCTGGATCTCAGGGACCCCCACCCCGCCCCCCAGGGCTCTGGGGCCGATGCCCGCAGCCTCGCCACCACTACCCTGACGGACCGCCTGACGCTACTCGCCCAGGGACAGACTCGGCCAGGCGAAACCCGGCCAGGCTGAACTCGGCCAGCCGGCCGAGTCCAGCCTGACCGAGATCAGCCAGCCGAGTTCAGCCTGGCCGAGTTTTCTTTGACCAGAACTAGTTGTTGCCCACCCGTCTCCTAAATTATTCACTGCGTGGGGATCACCATATGTGCATCTCCTTGCTGGCGCTCCCTTGGTGGTGGGACTCGGTGAGGACGAATCTGGATTTAAGTGTGACTGAGCTGCCTCTCTCTCTGCTCTCTCTGCTCTCTCTGTCTCTCTCTCTCTCTCTGCCCTCTCTCTGTCTCTGCCTCTCTTTCCCTGCCTCTCTCTCTCTCTCTGCCTCTCTCTCTGCCTCTGTCTCTCTGCCTCTCTCTCTCTCTCTGCCTCTCTCTCTGTGCCTCTCTCTCTCTGCCTCTATCTCTGCTCTCTCTCTCTCTCTCTCCTCTCTCTCTTCTCTCTATTCTCTCTCTGCTCTCTCCTCTCTCTCTCACTCTCCTCTCTCTCTCTCTCGCTCTCTCTCTCTCTTCTCTCTCTTCTCTTCTCTCTCTCTCTCTATCTCTCTCTCTCTCTTTCTCTCTCTCTATCTCTCTCTCTCTCTCTCTCTTCTCTCTCTCTCTCTCTTTCGCTCTCTCGCTCTCTCTTGCTCTCTCTCGCTCTCTGTCGCTCTCTCTCGCTCTCTCTCTCTCTCTCTCTCTCTCTCTCTCTCTCGCTCTCACTCGCTCTCTCTCGCTCTCTCTCGCTCTCCCTCGCTCTCTCCCGCTCTCTCTCTCTCTCTCTCTCTGCTCTCTCTCTCTCTCTCTCGCTCTCTCCCGCTCTCTCTCTCTCTCTCTCTCTCTCTCTCTCTCTCTCTCTCTCTTCTCGCTCTCTCTCTCTCTCTCTCTCTCTCTCTCTCTCTCTCTCTCTCTCTCTCTCTCTCTCCCCCCCCCTCTCTCTCCACTCTCTCTCTCTCTCTCTCTCTCTCTCTCTCTCTCTCTCTCTCTCTCTCTCTCTATCTCTCTCTCTCTCTCTCTCTCTCTCTCTCTCTCTCTCTCTCTCTCTCTCTCTCTCTCTCTCTCTCTCTCTCTCTCTCTCTCTCTCTTCTCTCTTCTCTCTTTCTCTCGCCTGTCTCCTCTCTCAACTCTCTCTCTCTCTCTCTCTCTCTCTCCGCTCTCTCTCTCTCTCTCTCTCTCTCCTCTCCCTCTCTCTCGCTTCCTCTCTCTCTCTCTCTCTCTCTTGCTCTCTCTCTCTCTCTCTCTCTCTCTCGTCACGGGCTCGTGAGATCAGCCAGGGTGGCTCCCCCTTGGGGCTCCCAAATGATGCCCCTGGCAGCGTTTTGTGACCATGAGGCTCTCAAGAGATACATGTTGGGGAGGCCAAACGGCAATTCTAGCTGAGGCGTCCCACCAAAATCGGCGCGAACGGGCTCGTGAGATCAGCCAGGGTGGCTCCCCCTTGGGGCTCCCAAATGATGCCCCTGGCAGCGTTTTGCGACCATGAGGCTCTCAAGAGATACATGTTGGGGGCGCCAAACGGCAATTCTAGCTGAGACGTCCCACCAAAATCGGCGCGAACGGGCTCGTGAGATCAGCCAGGGTGGCTCCCCCTTGGGGCTCCCAAATGATGCCCCTGGCAGCGTTTTGTGACCATGAGGCTCTCAAGAGATACATGTTGGGGGCGCCAAACGGCAATTCTAGCTGAGACGTCCCACCAAAATCGGCGCGAACGGGCTCGTGAGATCAGCCAGGGTGGCTCCCCCTTGGGGCTCCCAAATGATGCCCCTGGCAGCGTTTTGTGACCATGAGGCTCTCAAGAGATACATGTTGGGGGCGCCAAACGGCAATTCTAGCTGAGACGTCCCACCAAAATCGGCGCGAACGGGCTCGTGAGATCAGCCAGGGTGGCTCCCCCTTGGGGCTCCCAAATGATGCCCCTGGCAGCGTTTTGTGACCATGAGGCTCTCAAGAGATACATGTTGGGGGGCCAAACGGCAATTCTAGCTGAGACGTCCCACCAAAATCGGCGCGAACGGGCTCGTGAGATCAGCCAGGGTGGCTCCCCCTTGGGGCTCCCAAATGATGCCCCTGGCAGCGTTTTGTGACCATGAGGCTCTCAAGAGATACATGTTGGGGGCGCCAAACGGCAATTCTAGCTGAGACGTCCCACCAAAATCGGCGCGAACGGGCTCGTGAGATCAGCCAGGGTGGCTCCCCCTTGGGGCTCCCAAATGATGCCCCTGGCAGCGTTTTGTGACCATGAGGCTCTCAAGAGATACATGTTGGGGGCGCCAAACGGCAATTCTAGCTGAGACGTCCCACCAAAATCGGCGCGAACGGGCTCGTGAGATCAGCCAGGGTGGCTCCCCCTTGGGGCTCCCAAATGATGCCCCTGGCAGCGTTTTGTGATCATGAGAGAGTGTGAGTGTGAGCTTAACTTATCTTATCTTATCTTGAAATATCTTCTTATCATATCTTGTGCTATCTTATCTTATCTTGTAGTATATTATCTTGTCTTGTCTTATCTGGTGATTATCATTGGGAGGAGGGAGGCGCGAGCGGGAGGAAGAAGGAGGAGGAGGAGTGGGAGGCGTCAGAGTAAGAACAAGAACCCCAATCCTTAGGATATGGGGAAAAACTTGGCGTCGCGAGAAAAAATCAAACAACAACAAAAACGGCATCGTGATAAAATCACGATCGGAACACCCGACCCCATCTTGCTGCGGCATCTCTGAAGCCGCCAGAAGGGACCGAGAACGGGCGCAAACGCCAAGCGTGGACTAATTGAGACGCCCAGTCCTCGTTGACATCCACCCCCATTCCCTCTCTACTCCTCCTTTCCCCCCCCCCGTCGCCGTCGTCGTCGTCTCCCTCCTCCCTCCTCCCCGGTCTTCCCTCCCTCCCCCTCGCCCCCCCACTTGGGGCGGGTTTTGTCCCAGAGAGGGGCCGTGTGTTTGGCACGTGAACCCCGTCGCGCTTCGGGCCACACGGCACTTTGCTCATGCGTAAGCCCCCTTTTATTGGCCCGCTGTGGGCTCGGACCCTGCGCCCTTCTGCTCGTTCCCCCCTCCGCCCCCTCTCCCCAGCCCTTCCTTCCCAAACATCTGGCGCTCCAATTTTTCCGATGGGCGGACCTGCGAAGGTCTGGGACCGCTTCCCAGGGATTGTTTTGTTTTTCATCCCGAGTCGTTTTTTGACGGTCCAGAGGCCCAGTATGGGCCCCGAGAGGCAAAAAGTTACGAAAAATGCCCGTCCCGATGTTGTGTCGGACATGGCACATGTGAATGACACTTGCGGAAGGTACCGTTGTGGGCGGGTGGTTCTGCAGTGAGGGGAAACGTAACGAACTCCTCACGCTGAGCAGGAGCTAACCTCCTCATCAGCCAGTAGAGCGCGACAGACACATGTTCCTGTACGTTGCCAGTGTGGCCCCAGTGTCTGGCCCTGAGTGCGCTGAGGTTTCTCCCGAGGCCTCCGCAGCGCAGCCTTGCGGATTGATTTGGTGTCTCTCACTTGACGCTCGTGAGCCCCGCCCAGCATCGTATCGCTGTTGAGTTCATGCGGAGGGGATTGCGACCAGCAGCGACGCAACTCGGCAGCGATAAGAAGCTTGTGATTAATCTTCCTCCGTGCTGTGCTGGCGGGCTGGTTGGTCCGACTCGGTGTTCGAGACGCCGGAGGTCTGGGCCCCTCCATTCCCGGGCCGAACGAAACTGGGGGATAGGGAAGGGGGGGGGGGTACGAAATCTGATGCATGCAGCTGGTTTCGGCTCCGCCGCCGGGCCCATTCCTCGATACATGGGCGCCTCCCCGCGCCAGGAGGTGCTGGGAAAGTCAGCCACGCGAGCTGATTCTCTACCCTACCCTTTGCTATCTCCCCCTTTCGTTCCCCCCGACATTCCTTCCTCGGGCCCAGGCCGGCACGGCGCTGGGCCGACCCCGCGGGCGGCGCCGCGGCAGGATCCGCGGGGGGATGTCTGAGCCTCGGGCCCTGGGCCGGGGGACATTTTCTTGTCGACTGCACGTAAGAGTAACCCTTCGCCAGAGTGACCTTTGATGCGGGCCCACTGGTGTCCCCCGATCGCCGAACGCGCTGCGGCAGTAGCCGTCTTGCGCGCTTGTGTTTGGCCTCCCCCCGCGGCCCCCAAAAAGCCGCGCACCACAGGTCACTCTTACCCAGGGCCACTCTTGCATGTCGTCGATCTTGGGACTGCAGCAGGCTTCCCTGAGATCTGACGCTTCCGACCAAAAAACGCAACGCTTCCCCGACCAGAGTCCCGGACCCCATCATTCTGCAGCATTTTTCTGGCCGGGTCGATCTGTGAGGGTCCCCGGGCCCGAAGTTGGGCGAAAATGCCCGCTGTGAACAGATTGCAACGCCAGGATCTCAGGGGTACGCGGAGAGCATGCTTGATTTCGTTGGGCAGGGAGAGGGAGGAGAGGAGGGAGCAGTAGGAGAAACATCACGGCGGGAGGTGTTTGGCCGCTTTCGGCCTTTGGGGGCCCTTGCCGGGTCCCAGGACCGTCAACAAAAAAAGCGCCCTGCGGAATGGGTCGGGACCTGAGGGGCCCGAGCTGAAAAATATAATGCATCGGATGTCTTGGTGGAAGGGGGGGAGGGAAGGAAAGGGGAGGAGAGGCAGGGAGGGGGATGAGAGGAGGGGGAGGGGCATGATATCGATGTGCTTCCACTGAGCCGGCATGCGGAAACTTCCGACGCAGCGTTCTTTCCAGCAAGGGGCCACGGCCCAAGAAGGACTCGGAAGCGGCCTTGCTGCGACGGCGCTGGGAGACGGACCGCAAGAGCTGCAGGGGGAGGGCCTGCATGAGAAAACTTATCCGCGGCAGGCTACTTCGCCCCACGCCTCGGCCGGCGTCGTGGCAGGAGGGGCAACTCAGAGACTCCCCGCGTCGTGGGGGGGCCAGGCAGGGAGCGCCTGCCCGGGGCTCGTCCGATCCCCGCTTCGCTGCCTGGTCGACGCACCTCGCAAGCACGAGACGGTGACGAGGGAAGGGGAGCCACCCCAGGGGTAGGAAGGGGGAAGATGAGGGAGAGGAGAGGGGAGCCCCTTGAGGATGAATCAAGCGAAACCCTTGGCGGAGATCGCCTGGCATGGCGGGCGGGCGCTGCTTTTCCTGGGGCGCCGATGGGCACGGCGCGACTCAAGGGCCCTAAATGGCGGCGGGAGCAAGCAGTGCAAGGAAGCGAACAGGAAGAGACAGAAGAGACAAGAAAGTGAGGACAGGGATGAACTAAGATGGATGGGAGCGGTTGTCAACCTCATCCTTCTTTCTCTAAAGGAAGACAGGAAAAGTCTCAGGCAGTGCTCGCTGCAGTCTTCGCGGCTTTCTTTGTTGCTTTCTTGGCTTTCTTCGCTTCTGCGCGCTTCGCCCGCCTTGCGGCTGAAGGTGGGTTCCGTTTCAGCCGTCTGTCAGTGGAGAGGCGCAGAAGCGGCCCGGCTTCTAAACCGCGAACTTGCCCTCGCGGTCCTTATCCTCCCAATCGGCATTGTCGTTGCCAGTCTGGGCGGCTGGGACGTCGCCCCTATCGTTGCCGTCGCAGCTCAGCGTCTCGTCTGAGCTGTCGGTCACATTGACGTCGGAAGACAACCTGGGCCGCGTCTTCGGCGGCACCGGCGGCGGTTCAGAAGGAGCTGGCGTCACAACCGAAGCAGCAGTTCTCTGTTCAGCGGCTCTCTTCCAGTCTTGTATTTCCAACTATGTTCTCAGTCTCTTGGCCTTCCGTCTGTCTCTAAGCTTTTTGGCAGGCATCCAATGACCACACAAATCCACGTCCCTGCGGTAACGATGGTCGTTGGGTTTCTCGTTCGCTTTTGGTGCGCCTGCAGCCCGAAGTTCCGAGTCGACAACCAAACGCTCAGAAAGAATGTTGTGTTTGGTCTGAGCATGTAGTTGCTGTCGAACCAGGCTCACAGCTCGTTCGGACTGTTCCAGACGAGTCATATCCTGGCAGCATTGCATCCGCACCAGGGCCTGCACCTCTGCACGGAAGCTGCGTTGCGACTCCGTGAGCAGATGGCGCTCTACTGGGTTCAGCCGGCGCGGGGGCGGCAGTTCTGCTAGCTGCTTTGTGGCCGTCGGGGTTGCCATTGTAGCAGGTGGCCTTCCAAAAGGCGCTTTGGTAGGAGGTGGCCTTCCCGGCGGCGCCTTGCTGGTGGTGCTGTTCAAAGGCGGGGGCGCCCTGCTCATCGTCGCTGGCGCGCGGGGCGCGCGGGCGCCAATGGTTGTGGCGACCATCGCAGTCGCCAGATCCGCCGTTCCATCGGCCGGGAAACCCAAGCGCGAAGGTTTAGTTGGACCCGTGTTGCTAATGGTGTCTGGAGGAGCGGAGGCAGGCTTACAGGCCGAAGTAAACGACAAGGTGCCCGATCGAATCGGAGAGAGCAGTTTGAGGGATTTCGAGTTTGGCTTCGTAAGCGGATCTGCGACCATGTCGGAACTCGGCTGCCACCGCAAATCTGTTGGGAGAACTTTGTTGTTGTGGAAGCGTACCCACTAAACAGTAGTTTCTCGAATGCGCTGCGGGGAGGGATCAAATCCTCCTCCGACACGCGGAGGTGGCGGAGGTGGCCGACACCAAACCATGTTTCACATGAAGGTGACCATTCCCCGCTGCGACGGTTTGCTCTTGGACGAATCTCCATACGAATACACGCAAATATGTTTCGACATTGGTCCACAATTGAGCATTACGGGTTCGTTTCGGATGCGTCGTACGTTTTTGTTGCACTCCAGCAGCGCGGCAACCGTGGCAGCCGGCACTTTAGATGCTATGGCGTTTACGTGAAACGATCCTGTTGGCACTGTCTGGTCTGAGGCCCAAATCTGTTCGCCGAGGCACTTGCGAAGAGAATTGCGTTCGACCTCTGTAATTGGAGAGTTAGGGAAACGAGCGCGATGAGGTGGAACAGCGGTCGTGGATAGGTTTATTCAGTACGCCTTCCGGTCGAAAGCGACGCACGGCATACGAATTGTAATCTGCAGACCACAGAACACAAAATCACCTGACGAACGGCTACCCCATTGAAGAGGAAAAGAATCCACCACGGTCCAAAATCCCTCCGCGCCGGCCATAAGCTGACATCCCACGCTTCTGGCGCCCGGCCCTGGCACGCGGCCAGCCGGAGGAGGAAGCGCACAGAGTGCCGCTACAGAGTCGGACTGCTTACTACGTGGTCGTCTTTCCCTGGCTCGAAGCACCCCTGGACGACCAGGCGAGCTTCTGGTTCCCCGTCAGGCGCGGCGCGCGCGAACCTGGACGGGATTGCCGCAGCTCCAAGAGGGAGCGGTTTGACCTCGAAGTTCTCCGACACAGCCTGAAGTTCGCGCACGCGCGAGGCTTCGAATGCAGGGTCAGATTCGGCTTCTTTCTGTGGAACCTCCCTAGTGGCCCTCAAGGTTTTGGCTACTGCCAAGGCGACTTTCATCTGGCACACCAGCATCTTCGGGACAGCTGGAACAGAAATGCGCGACTTCAGCCATCATCGACCACTGTTCCGGCTCGCGGAAGAAGGGGCCCCCCGCGTCGTCGCTCGCAGCTGCAAACAAATCGTCGCGCGAAGGGATGCGAGGCAGCGTCTGCGAGTTACGCGGCGGCCCCTCGCCCAGCACCTCGCCGCCCCACGGTTTCTCCCCAGCGATCCGCCTCGAGGGTTTTGGCGGCAGCGTCGGCGCACGCGCCGGCGGGGGCGCATGAGGAACGCGCAGTCCAACGGGAGCTGGTACCAGAGGAGGTGACGGAACGCTCGGTGGAACCTGAGGCGGCGCTCTTGGCAGAGGCGGTGGATTTGGCGGCGGCGGCGCACTTGGCTGAGGCGGTGGTGCTGCACTCGGTGGTTTCAGAGTCTGCGTGGGATGAGATTCTGCGTCGCCCTCAGCGGCTGGGCTGCGTTGTTTCGTTTCGCCGGGCGCTGCAACCTGGATCTCGACAGCGCCATTCTTCTCGCGGGGGCGAACACGATGGCGATGAGCAGCGACAGCGTTACCGTCAGGTGTCGAATCCAAACTTTCCGTTGGCCCTCCATGCCGAGAACTCGCGCCGGTCCTTTCCAAGCTTTGCAGGTGGTTTTGGATTGCGGATTCTCGTCGGCAACCCAGTCAACCTCTGTGCCCGCGCCAAGGGGCCCAAGGGTTCCAGCGAGACGAGAGTTGAATATATCTCGTAACTCTGAGCAGGTCTGAATTTGGATCGCCGTGTCCTGCGCAGCCCGGCGAAGGAACAGCCGCGCTTGCGCGCTGCTGGCCGGATCGCGAGGCAAATCGCGAAGCATTGGTGGAAATGTTTTCGTCGGCGGCGTCGAACAAGGCGCCACCCCTCAAGGCAAGGAACTGCGCAGAGAAACCACACCGTCTGACTACAGCATTCTTTGCTGCTGAGGTTTGCAGCATGACGCTTGTTGGGGCGAGGCATCCATCCGAAATTTGTCGTTTGAGCATTTCGGCAAGCTCATATAGTATGATATTAACAACACCGCCGTGACGCTCGACGAGACCAGCTGATGCAGGCGTCCGGGGGGGATCCAAAGATGTCTTACCCCGTGGAGTTCCAGATTTTATTACACCTTTTTGTTTTTGTACTCCCCACCGCTGTCTGCGAGAAGCCGTTGTGGCAGAGAGCCGGAAACCGCCTGCCAGCGCGCGGAAGTTTGCAGCGTTTCGCTGGGCCCCCGACTCAATACGCGTTCTGCAAGGGAATACTTCGTGAAGCTATTTGCCATATGCTGAAAAACGATAGCGATTGAACCAGTTTTCATTTCGAAGCTACCCATGCAGACGACGTCGTTCACAGTAAGTGCGCCGATGCCCCCTGTTTTGCGATGAGCGGCGGGCTTTTTTTGAATCGATCGCAAGTCTTGCAATTGTAAGTAGTTTTTTCTGCCAGAGTACGGATTTCAGCAGCAGTGTGGGGCTCCAGGACTGGGGTGATCTTCCGCAAGAGT